TTAATTAGCTAAAATGTAATGAACTTTTACGAATATTTATGGCAGGACAGTGGAAGTCTTCGGGGAGCGAAGAGATAAAATTCTGGGGAGGTTGGTAGGCGCATCGAAAATAAAAGTAAGTAAAGTGTATCCGAGTTAGCGTGTGTATCTGTATCTGTGTGTTTGCCTAGCCGGGATGGGATGTGTGTATGTGGGCACAACTTCAAAATGAGTTTATCGATTTTAAAGGCCAAAGCGAAAGAGCAACAGCAACGGCAACGGCAAAAGAAAAGAAGGTACGGGAAGTTCCGCCTGGTTTGTTTTGCTGATGATGTGTGGATGGCTTGACAGGAAAAAAAAAGCAAAAAAAGCAAGCAAGCAAGCAATCCCCTCTGCGTTCTCAATGAAAATCCCTACACACAAACCCGAAACCGAAAATAAAAAAATGCGATTACCAAGCGATTATTATTTAAGGGTTAAAAATCTACAGTCAGCCACTCGACAAAACCGCACACACCTCCTCATACTTTTCAGCCTTTTCCGTTACGCCTTTCTCTTGTTTATTGTGTTTATTGTTTTTGCCCTGACAACAACAATAACAACAACAATAACAACAACTTTGCAGCGACTGCGACGACAAACGTAAAGCAATTAAAATGTTTAAGACAATTGACAAAAGCCAGACTCAAGAACTTAAAGCTCGCAGGGCGAAAAGAGCTTTGACAGACCGAAAAACTCGAAGGATGGCAAAGGATAAATGGCCGGATGGCGGGATGGCAGGGAGGCGATGGAAAAGCTCCTCTGCTTGTGGAAAATTGCATTTTTAATATGCAATGAAATTTGCCAAACATAATAAATAAAAGATGCAAAATTCATTCGGAGTAGAGGTGTGTGTGGGCTGCTGCTGCTCTCCTCCCAACTTCCTTCTCTTCCGCCAGCTTTATTTTAGGTCCTCTGTGGCAGGCACAAGGATATCACGCACAAAAAAGAAGCCTTTGAAGTGCAACCAGTTTCGGGGGGAATATACTATATATTCCAACCCTTTTCTTCGGTAGAAGTGAGCAGTGCGTGACAAACACGCCATTTGACCCACTGTGCAAATCGACACTGGAGTTCAAGGATTTTTAGAAGATAAAGGTTTTAAACTGATCAATAAACTCATCCAATTTGTGATACCGCAAAATAAGTAACAACTCGTTACAAAACGCATGCAATAAATGATGGGAATTAATCGAAGCAAATTCATTGCCCTTTGCAACAATATTATTCCAGAAATCCGGCAATAATTTATTCCGCCGGCTATATATCCCGCACATCATTTGCTATATACTGCATATATCAATCCATGTATCCGCGTACCCCTCATCTGCAGTCAAGTGCAGGCCGCATTCAGTTTTCCGTCTGCAATTCGTTTTCTTTGCTTTTTTCGGCTGTTTGCCTTCTCCCATTTGTCGAAATGGAATCGATTTTGTTGAAGCAACGGCGGCGGCGGCGGCGTCGCTGTTTCTGCCCGCGCCCCCTATCTCCCCCTTTTTCATGCCCGCCCCTGCTTTCTTCCCACTTACAGCCCCCCTATTTTTTTGCTGAAACCCCACTCAAACCCCTCCACATCTTCGTTGGGCCAAAAGACAGAGCACGCAAGGGGTGCTGCCTGCTAAGGTGAATCCCCTTTCCAAAGACATGGACGGGGGGCGAAGGGGTTCGTCCAAGTGGGCGGCGTGGCAATTTTCGGTCCGCCCAAAGTTCGATGGCAAGTCGAAGATAAATGATGCATTTAACAAAAATGTGTAAAATGTTTAAAATACATAAATTGTCGACAAGCTGAACAAGAAACCAAACCAAAGCGAAAACTTTGGGATAATGTGTAATAAATTAAACATTGAGCCAGGACAATGAATTTAGTTGCCTTGCAGATTTTCAGGTACGTTCCGGAAAGGTCTATAAATATTAAATGAACTTTTCATTTACATTTTCTGAGTGAAATACGTTTGGATGTAAAATAACTAAGCTCAAGATGCATCAACTAAGCTTAGATTATTATCCAAAACAATATACTAATATTCGAGCTATTAAAGCTAAATAACCAAGGTCAATGTTACTTTAAATTATTAGCAATAACACATTTAAGAGCTCATCCCCCTCTAGTTTTTCATCTCCTTTCACAATTTCACCTTAACTGCCTCAATAAATTATCCGCTCGTCGTAATTTAAGCAACTCTTTGGGCCACGCCCACTGTCGAAGGCGGCGGCTTCTGCAGGAGCGATAAACAATGCCAATGCAACCACAACAACCCAGCGACGACAACAACAACAATTGATCTAAGCTTGCAACGATACGCCAATAATATGTTGTCACTTGTCAATCAAGATGCAACAGCCACGAAAACATCAACAGCAACACAAGCGGAGGCACTTGAAACAAACAACAATCCGCGCGGAGAGTTGGGGCGGAAAAGCGGGAAAATCGTAGGGCGGGGGCACCGATGGCCCAAAAGGAGGCGGGGCAGATCGCTCATGCAACTTTTGTTTTGTTGACTGCGCTTCGAGACTTTGACTGACTGACTGACGGCTGTCAGAAAATGCCACACGACCCAAAGTGAAGTGAAAATTGGCAACAATGACTGCAACACAACAACGAAAAAGTAATAAAACTGGGGAAAAAGTGCAGCAAGAAGAAGCCGAAGAAGAAACTGCAACACGCGACTTTCCCAAATAAAATACAAAAAAAATCGAAAAAAAAAAAATAAAACATACAACAACGCATTATAAACAATATGTTGGACTCGGTTTATTGTTGCTGGTGTTGGTGGCAATGTTGCTTTCTTGTTTTGCATGTTGCACCGGCTACATCGGCCGCAATTTCCAGCGATTTTCACCGGCAACCGCAGGCGGCGGCAACAATCAGTAAAAGTTTTCCAAAACAGTAAAAGCAGCGAAATAAAAGAAATGAAAAGTGAAAAGCCGAGTCAGATTAACCAACCGCTCCCTGTCCATTCCATTGATCACTTATTCAATGGCACTAACATCTTAAAATGGATGGAATGGATGAGCACTCGGCAGCGAAATCAGAAAGTAATTGAATTAGTGTAAGTATCTGGAGATCTATTAAACGACAGTCTGCCAATCTGAAACCTAAAAGAGAAGTACAAAATATGCTGACATTCCATTGAAGTATCTAATAACCAAATAATCTATGTGTAGATGCAGAGAGAAGCACGTTTCTTGACATGATAAGTTAATAAAGAGATACCATTCCGAATGACTTCTGCTTTCCACACAATGTTTTTCTCTTTCCAACTACACCTTGGCTTTTCAAACATCCTTGGCTGCGGGGCAAGCCAAATCAACTTTTTGCATATGAAAAGAATTCAAATGAAGGGGGACAAATCATCAGCAACTACCAGTCAGCGATGAATAATTACGTGCCGATGGAAAGGGAGGGGAATGGAAGCAGTGTGCACAGTAGTGCAAAACGACACAAATGACTTGGCCAGGCGGATGCGGAAAAACTTTTCCACTCCACTCGACTCGAAGCCAAACCGAACCCAACCCAAAGCCAAAGCCAAAGCCAAAGCCAACCAAACAGATCTCGCCAGACGACGAATAACTCACGTTCTGCGTCGCCCAGATAAAAGAAATAGAAACTCCGAGACGCGGAATCAGAATCTCGACTTCGAGCTGGCTCTCCGGGTAATTACAAGCTGCGATGCGATGGGGTCGCCTGACGGATTGTCGACAGAACTAACAATTATATAAGCCAGAGGCCGTCGAGATTCGCGGCTTGCATCACTCGGAAAAATAAAATCAGAAATCTTTTTCGCATTCGCGAAATACACAACTTTTTTGCTGGTGCGCTACTTCAAGGTATTTTTCAAATGCAGCCAGCCAGGCAAAGGAACGTCAAAAAGTCAGCTAAGTAGTACCTACAATTGCTTGTAGCTACAGCGAATGTATCTTGTAGCTACAAGTTGGCGGCGCAGTTCGAATGCGAGCTGTGTGTGAGTGAAACTGAACTGAAACCGAAAGAGTACTACAACAACAACAAAAGCAGCAACACAAAAAAAAACAGCACACTCGCACACACAAAAAAAAAATCGCTGACCTCATTATTATTTTGTGTATATATGTTTGTACGTGCATTCTCCGCTTGGATTGCTGGCTCCATACTTATTCCGCTGCTCTTTTGAGACCGCGGACTGCACCAGCTCTAATGTGAGGCAAACGCGAATTGATGAGATAGCCATAGCCACTGCCATAGCCATAGCCGCTTCGCAAAGCATATCTGCTGGATGCGATTTGCATTCGACGCGATAATCCCAAGCTCTTTCGAAACCCCCATGAAATTCCGAATCGATTTCACAATCGCATCTCGCAAGAACTCAGCTCTAGGGCGACTTCAGTGTCTGCATTCAAATAATAATCATCTTTTTTTGGCTAGCCTTGGTGGAATGACTACTTAGAGATCCGCTTTTAATTTAATAACAATACTTTAGGATGATTAAAGCTGTGAATCAGTTCCAGGAAATTCAACTTAGTCATTTTTGATTTTTAATTTTTAATTCCATAAACATCGCACATCTTTGAATCATCTCATCAATATAATTTATTTAAGGAATTATAATTCCCAACAGCTTTTAAGCATTATACCACACTGATTTCTATAGAACCTATAAAATCTCATGTAAATAAACCAAAGATAGATATGTATATCATTTGCACATCTTTGAATCACCTCATCAATATAATTTATTAAACGAATTATAATTCCCAACAGCTTTTAAACATTATACCGTACTCATTTCTATAGAACATATAAAATCCCATATAATCAAAGGAATTCCCATATATTAAAGGAATTATAATTCCCAACCGCTTTTAAACATTATACCGTACTCATTTCTATAGAACATATCAAATCTCATGTAAATAAACCAAAGATAGATATGTATATCATTCCCCACTGCTTTTATATGCCATAGTAGAGAGTTTAAGGATAAGGACATGAAATCCTGGGGACTCACCACATGAACACTGCTCTGCAGCTGTCCGGCTAACATCGTCTGGGCCTGCTGGTGTTGCTGATGCTGCTGGTGTTGCTGCTGCTGGTGCTGCTGCTGCTGGTGTTGCTGCTGCTGCTGCGAGGGGTCGGGCAGCTTCTTGTCTGTCTTCTTGGCCGCCCGCTTGTTCTTGCTCTCGAGGAAGCGCTTCTGCAGGGCGGTGGTCTCCTGGTTCTGTTGCTCGCACACCGTGCTAAAGGCCTGCTCGTACCGCGGCACGCAGTCCGTCTGCCGCCGGCGGTAGTTCTCCATTCGGCGGCGCAGGCGGTCGACCACCGGCAGCCGCTTGGCGGGCATAGAGTCGCCCGCTGCGGAGGAAACCGCTCCTGGATTCGCAGGGCCGCCAGCTCCGTTGCCGCCAGTGATTCCAGCAATTCCGCCTGTTGCTCCCAGGTTGGCATTGTAGGGCGAGTGTTGCTGCTGCTGCTGCTGCTGTTGTTGCTGCTGCTGTTGCACTTGGATCTGCTGCTGCTGAGCCTGGGCATTGTGCTGCTGCTGCTGCAGTTGCAGATGGAGGCCCAAGTGCTGCTGGTGCAACTGGAGATTCAGATGTTGCTGCTGCTGCTGTTGCTGCTGCTGTTGTTGCTGCTGCTGCTGCTGCTGGGCGACGGCGGCTGCTTGGCTGGCGCTCTGGAAAACTGGCAGGCCGCCCGCATCCATAAATGCGTCCGTGGTGAGGCTTTCGCTGGCGCTCGTTGCTTCGCAGCTTTCGTCTCAGTCGGCGGCGAACGCTGACGGCGACGAAATCGCGAAGAACAAGGCGGCGACAGCGGCAGCGAATATACCGATATGTATGTGTGTATATCGGTTGTCTATATCTGATATCGACTGGTGTTGCTGACAGCGCTTGTGATTGCTGCTGTTTCCGCGCTGCAAGACCGGAAATGCCTATTCTACGCGGCGAGGTGTGAGGAGTATCGCTGCTGGGGCAGGTAAAAGCAGCCACGGGAAGGCCGAGTCAACATCCTGTGGCAAGTCCTGCAAAGGAAAGAAGTTACAACACAATTAGTTGCAAACCGGAAAAGCTTAAAGTGGTTGCATACAAAGTAGAAAGGTTTCTATCACCTTAATTTGACTTTAAAGAACTATTGAAATTAAATGCAATGATTTTAAATAATATAACTTCTATGTTAGGTAACACTATCACTTCAGAAATCGTATATGAAAAACTCTGAAACCCAAAATCTATCTCAAGGTCATTTATACTACGTTCCCATTTCAAAACTAGCCAATTTATGGAAGCGAAATTAAAATTGTACTGCACAACTGATAAGAACCGGAAAGTGAGAGCAAGAAAATAAAGTAAGAGAAGATATAGTAAGCAATGTCAATACAAACACACTTGAATTGGCGATTGGCTACGTATAAAGAAACCACAACAAATATTCAACAATATAAATCGGCGAGCACCCATTCATAGAACTGATAAAAACAATGCAGCAGTAAAGTTTAAGAAAGTTGTCGGTCACTGACAAAAAATGTGACGTTAATCTATACTAAGTGTCTTATCAAGTTAATTTTAAAAGATTAAACAAATACAATTGTTGCTGAATTTCAAGGGCCAAGTATTCAAATACCAAAACTGTCTTATAGGAATGTACACTTGAGAAAATGTATTTGCACACAAATAATGAAAATCAACTGATCAATAACTTCATAAACTTATGAACAAAGTATAGATACTTTTAAAGATCCAACTTAAAATTGATCAAGATTGATTAATATCAGTTCAGCTTCTGAATTGAAACATTATTTTGGGCAGTGAAGCAAGCAAAGCTGATTAAAACCATTAATCGCTGGCAAAACGCGAGCGGCCGTTGCGCGTTTTCTTATACACATTCGCATTCGCGTGTCTCAAAAAGCGAGAAACAACAGTGAACAAAACAAAGCCAAATGGCTTCGGACTCGGATTCAGATTCAGACTCAGATTCAGATTCGGAATCGGTAGTCGGTAAGTCGGGAAGTCGGGAATGAGAGACTGACAAACTCAACTCAACTGGCCTGCGCCGCGTCTGGCGGTTGAATGAATGACTGATGGACGGAACGGAACTCGGCGAGCGGTTGGAGCTCGGTGGTGCTTGGCTTTGGACGGTGCTGAGAAATCGGTGGAGCTGAGTGCGCCGAGTGGGTCTATGGAGCTCTGGCTGTGCCTGTGCCTGTGCCTCTGCCTGTGCTGTGGAAAGAGTCAGCGGTCGTTGGGGCGAAAGAGCCGAACAGCAGCGAACGACAACCGACGAACTCTGAATGTTGCAGACGCGCAAATGAGCAGAAACCTTTTGCAACTTATGTCTGATATGCAATACTTAGAAAATTCATATTCTATTTCATATTCATATTTCATTTTATTGGAAAAAATACCTGCATTCATAAACATAATTTGGGAAAAATACATATTTTATTAGTTTAGTTTCCCCAAACAAAAAGTATGTCATAGCCAATTATATAACTGAAAATATAGTCTTTTTGCGAGCTATTTTTTTATGAAAAATTTAATGCTACATACAAACACCAAAGATTTTTTTAGTTGTATCTTATAATATTTAATAAAGTTTGTTTATAAAAATTTGTAAAATTAATTTTTAAAATATTATTTAAATCTACATATGTATCTTTTTATGTTCCAGTGGTTTAAATTGTGGAAGTTCGACTGTATGACTTCTACGGCACGTGGATAAAAAAGGGGGTAGATCACAGGGGTGATGCAGGCAAATTAAGCTGTAAACAAGAGGCGAGATGAGATGGCTAAGCCAAAAGACCCTAAAGCCCAAACTCCTCTCGGCTGCAATGGAAACTGGTTTTGGGTCTTGGCTTCCTCAAGTCGAAAAATCGGGAACATTTGGAAACGCCAGCGCGACTTTACTCGCGTTCGAAACAAAAACAAAAATCCACTCGCATACAAACGAACGGCGGTTTGGCCGAACCGAGTAACAGGCGCCCAGCTTTTATAGGCAGAGAAAGCGGGAGACCGGGAGAGTGGGTGGCTGGGGGAGCGAGAGAGCAAGGCGAGCGAGTGAGTGAGTGAGCGACTGGCGAGTGCGAATGAGCGAGACAGCAGGGCTGTTGCTCTCACTACAGGTGTGAGTGGGGATGTGGGGACCCAGTGAATAAAAGAGTCGACAAGTGAGCAATGTTGTTAATGAGTGAGAAAGTAACTGAGTGAAAGAGTGAGTAAGTATCTCAATCGCAAAAAAAAAAAGGTCAATTTAGAGCCGAACGATTTGTTTGCTGTTCTTCGTAATATTGTTATTGTTATCGCTGCTGCCGCTGTGTTTAATTAGAGAACAGAACTCCGTTAACCCATTGAGGTACGCGATGTCAAGCAGTGTACAGCTACACAACCTAAAAACCCACGAAATCCAAAATTATAATGTTTTTCAAATGTAAGTTATCAGCAATAGAGAATTAAATTTGAAATTAAAAAAAAAATTTTCGATTATTCTTTGCCATGAATCTTGAAAAATCCCAAATTGATAAGAAATTTCCATCCCGGGGGATTACGAACTGTAATGAAAGGCACCTCCAAAAACAGTGTAACCCAAAAGCCTTCAAATTACCTAGTAGGCAGAATAAGGAAAATACGGCAACTAATTTCTTAAGATGCAACCATTTTAGTATCACACTTTTCATATTTTTAATAAACATCAAGTAGGATTTAAATCGATTTTTTAATCGTTAAAACAAAATACTAATTTTGCAGGAAACAAAAATCAGTTCAATTGTATGTTTTACGCTTTTGAGCAATGATCTCAATTCTCGTTCTTAATAGAGCGCCCACAAGAGAGAGCGAAAAATGTATCTACGCAATCGCAGAGAGAGACAGGGAGAGAGAAAAACGAGGCCCCACTGTTAACAACCCGACTGATGTTGGAGCGTTAACATCGGCCGGCGGGCCGAAAACATTGCAAAATCGGCGCGAATTAAAAAATCGCCGGCGACGACAGAAACGCGGCAGAAACGGACGGCAGTCCGTTCGCTCGAAGCGCTCGCCGTCGCGCGTTTCTGGCAGCCCCAAATCAAAAACAGCGTGCGGCGTTCGAAGCGGAATCGCATCGAAACAGAAACAGAGACAGAAGTTAAACGGCGGCGACTTACGTCGCGCGTCTATCGCAAAAACGAACAGGCGCCCAGAAACGGCAGCAACCGGAGCGTTTTTAGCCGCTGTTAATGCTCAAAACGGTACTGGCCCCGTGACAGAAAGAGAGACACCGGTGAAGGGGGTGAGAGAAAGAAAGAGAAGGCTGAGAGCGGAAATTAGGTATTCGCTCTTTATGCGGCAGTATGGGTGTTATGGTTTCAACTACACTAAAAATATTATTGATTAATTATGTTAAATATTTTAAGTGTCATTTATAAAAAGATATATTATGCTATGCCTTTTTTTATATTAATATTGTAACCTAATTATTTTATTTTTAAATATCAATACGGTTTTTATATAAATTACTTGTTTTCCTCTGTGTAGAAAAAAAAGAGAACTGCGTTTCTTGTTATGGAATTTGCATCTTATTATTAAAGTTATGTGAACATCACAAATCAGTATAATTTCAGTCGTGCTATTTAATCTGATAAACTGATCATAAAACGCACGTCAGCAACTGAATTAATGAATTAATATGAGAGCAGCAAAAACCGCTTGCGTTTCTAGTCGCCCCGCATTGTTGCGGTTAAAAACGCAACCGGCGAGAAGATACATTTTATTGCAAGAGGAAAAGCGAATAAGGCTGAGAAATCGTCGGCTGGCTGAAACGTCTGTTGGCCCATGAGAAAACGACGCCAAACAAAATGGTGCCGCCTCCAGTGACGAAAGCGACAAACTAACTAACAAACGACTAGCGTCTAACGACAAAAGGCAACCGACAGACGACAAACGATGGCGGCGACAAAAAGTCAATTTTATCGGAAACTAACAGGCTGCAAGCAGCCGGAGAAAGCAAAGCTGGGTGGAAAGCCATTGCGGACTTTCCACATTTTGCGCTGGCCTGGAAAAGCTCTCTTTCTCTATTTCTCAATGGCTCCGCTGCGCTGGGCGCCTAATCCAAATTGCGAGAAAGATCCGCTTTTCGAGCCAAAAACCACCGAAAAGCCAGGCAGCTCGCACAAAATGCTCGCCCAGTGGCACGCCCCCAAATCGAGTGGCCGCCCACCTTGAAGTCCGGGCCAAATCCAAGCCATCCGGCTGGCCCAAAGGCGAGCGGCAGACTGAGGAAAATCGAGGTAAGTTTGAAGCCAAACCGCAGGAAATGCCAAAGAAAAGGAGATGGTCAAAAGGGGGTGGAGCTACGAGGTGGCTATCAAAAAGTGGGGGAAGTGGGTGGCTGGGTGGCTGGGTGGAATGTACAGAAACAACATCTCCGTGCAATTAGCTTGATTGTCTCCGCACATGCGCCCTGGGGAAAACTCCAAACGAGAGCTATATTTACCCAAAGGCAATCGTTTTAGTTCGCTTTCTCATAAATAAAGAAATTTTATTGTTTCAAGTGCAAGCCCAAAAGTGATTAAATAGTAGGGGAGATGTGGGGGTTGTGGGCATAGTTTTGTTTTTGGCTTATAATTACCGAACTAGTGCATATTATTTGGACATATGGGTATCTGTGTAAAGCTAGAGATTTAAGCTAACTAATTGTGAAGAAACATACTTGATTTTGTCATGCGAAAAAATTTCATATGGATTTTTGTAAAATCGTAATTTTTAGCTAAAATTTTGTTTTGGGGGGTTGTGGGCACCCTGGGAAAAAATGCTGCAAATGGAATAATATGGAAAAAAAACCGCAACCAATATCAACAAAATGACAATTTATTTATTTCACGAATATTCTGAAAGCCGAAATATAAAGAATAAAGCGTGGAATTCTTAGTGATAATCTATATCTTACGAATATTCTGGAAGCCGAAAAATGAAGAATAAAGTGTGAAAATCTTAGTGATAATCCCTCTCAGCGGGAGAGGATCCTTTTCCAACAGCCTAAGATTTCTACAAG